GGCTGAAGGAGCTGGGATGTTCAGCCTGGAGAAGAGGAGCTCAGGGGAGACCTCATTGCTCTCTATGGCTGCCTGAAGGGAGGCTGGAGTGAGCTGGGGGTCGGCCTCTGCTCTCGTGTCATCAGTGATAGGACCAGGGGGAATGGTTTCAAGCTATGGGAGATTCAAGCTGGACATGAGGAATTATTACTTTTCAGAAAGGTCAGGCACTGGAATGGATGCCCAGGGAGGTGGTGGAGTCACCAACCCTGGGGGTGTTGAAGGAAAGTCTGGATGTTGTGTTGAGGGACGTGGTTTAGTGGGAGCTGTTGGTAGGAGGTGAACGGTTGGACTGGATGGGCTTTGAGGTCTTTTCCAACCTTGGTGATTCTATGATTCCATGATTCTACAATAAATGAGCTTTTCTCCTCTGATGGCTGATCCCGCTTTGTTCCCAGGCCCGTCTCCCTGCCTGTTCCCCATTCCCCCCTTTCCCAGGGCATGGCTTCGTGCATCCCCCCCCACAACATCGGTGAAAGAATCAGGGCTGAACCAACCTGTGAACCACTCCTGTTTACCATCATCACGATTTCTCCCTCCCTTTCCTACCCTAATAAACGGGTTCTTATCGCAACTGACGAGTTTTGCATTTTCTTGGTTGATTCTCAAAGAGGGTGGGGGTCAGTGATCGAAGGGCTGACAGCACTGCAGTCCCTGTGGTGCCCAATGTGGGGCCCGAAGGCTGCGGATCCTGAAGCCACGTGTGCTGTGTTTGGCCCCCCACCGCACGAGGCCACGCAATGACAGGACTTTGGGGACATTCTGTGACACTTGGGGGGGGACGGCCAGCGTGGGAAACACAAACAGGGTCTGTGTGCAACGCTCTGTGCGTGTCAGCCAAGTGGGCACAGAGAAGTGTCACCACCAATGGGGGAAATCTGTCACAAGGTGGTGACATCACGTCATCCTGTCCCCAAGGGGAAATGAGATTGCCTCTCTGGCCACTTCCTGTCCCCACTGCAGTCTCGCTGTCCCCAAGGCTGCTCCTGAATCATGGCACCCAGGGCGCTGGCCCTCATCCTGGGTGAGTGACGATGGGGACGTGGTGCCACGGGGGGTTGGTGGCCCTGTGTGACGCCAGGACCGTGTCCCTTGCAGGTTGGTGGCTGGCGGCAGCGAGCGGAGCACAGCAACGTGAGTATGGGGGCAGGGGGAGAATGGGGAGAGAGGGAGGGCAGCGTGGGGAGGGGGTCACAAGAGGGCGTGCAGGGACAAGGCTGACTGCTGTCCCCTGTCCCAGTGCCCCGACCCTCCCTGTCGCTGCACCCCAGCCAGGAGGTGTCCCTGGGGGACAATGTCACCCTGCTTTGCCACCTGCCCCGAATGACCGCCTGGGTCCAGCTCTGGTTGAATGGAACTCTCAGATCTAACAAGGAAAAAGATCAGGAGCAGGACGTGGCTGAGTTCTCCTTTGCTGTCACCAACCTGGAGGACATGGGGACGTATCAGTGTCGGTACCAGGTGTCAGAGCCACTGTGGACCTCAGAGCTGAGCGACCCCGTGGAGCTGATGCTGGCAGGTGAGGGTTTGGGGCACGATGGGTGGCTCTGAGCTTCTCCCACAGGGCCAAGACCCATCCCTTCTCCTCCCTGCACGCAAACCTCAGCTTCCCCCAAGCTCAGCATTTCCCTGAGCCCAGGGAACGTGTGGCAGTGGGGACAGATGTCACCGCCCAGCGCTGGGATGGGGGTTACGGTGGCAGATTCCTCCTGCACGCAGCTTGGCCCCTATCCTGCACCAGGATCCCACCGGTGGGCGCAGAAACCTTCACCCCCCCCCTCTGCCAGCACCGTTACAGAATCCCGCAGCCCCAAGGACCAACATTTGTGCCCTCACCCCTTGTAGATGCTGCAGGCGACACCCACCCCTGCAACCCCCGTTAGGTCCGAGACCCCGTTTGTGTCACCCTATGTCACCCATGGGTGAAACTCTCCCTGCACCCCTGCCCTGCAATGGGGACACCCAAAAACTCGCTCCCCACAGGTGCCGGGGGTCGATCCCGTGGGAACCTGGTGGTGGCGGTGGTGAGGGGCTGCGCTGCCGTCTTCGTCTTCAGCCTGGGCCTCTACTTCATCCTCGATGCCCGCAGCCTCTGGACGAGGAGAGATAAGAGCCCTGGTGAGGAAGGGGCTTCAATGCTTTCCATCCCCTACGGATCCCCTCGAGTGTCCCTGCCTCCTCTTTCTATCTTGAACTGAATGCCCCAAGTGTCCTCTTCCGTTCCTTACAGATCCCCCCAGCTTTCCCCTATGTGTTCTTCCATCCCTTACAGATCCTTATGGATCCCCCCAGCTTTCCCCTACGTGTTCTTCCATCCCTTACAGATCCTTATGGATCCCGCCAGCTTTCCCCTATGCGTTCTTCCATCCCTTACAGATCTTTATGGATCCCCCCAGGTTTCCCCTGTGTGTTCATCCATCCCTCACAGATCCTTATGGATCCCCCCAGGTTTCCCCTATGTGTTCTTTCATCCCTCACAGATCTTTATGGATCCCCTCAGTCGTCCCTTGAGACCCCACGTAACCCCCACCCTTCTCCTTGCCCTTTTCGATGCAGGTCTCACCCCTGAAACGCCCAAATCAGTGCCATTCCAGGTAGGTGCCTGGGGCAGCGGACCCCAAATCCCACTTCACCCCTTGGGGCACGCAGAGAACATCGCTATGGAGACCCACACCCTTCCCATGAGGCCCACAAACGACCCCCAGCCTCCTATGGCTTTCTCTGACATTTATGTGCCCTACCTGTTGTCCAGCTCATGGGAAATCCAAATCCGCAATGCAGGGAACCCTCAGCCCACAAACTGAAGCCCCCAGACCCACAGAATCCCTCCAAACCTTAATCCCCCTCCTGAACATACAGGCACGTACAACTTGAGCAGAGGGACCCTAAATGCACCCACACGGAATCCCAGTGACCCATAGGGAACACAAAAAACAAGCCCCTGTATTCCCCCAGCCCCTGATAAACACCCCAAGACCGTAGCTGGGCCCCAAATATCCCCCTTGCAGACCCCAATTTGAGCCCCCCCAGACCTCCAGACTCACCCTCACGGTCACATCCGCCTCATCCCTACACCAGAGGCCCAACCTCAGCCCACCCGCCTTGGGGACCCCCATGGTAGCACCCCGCTCTCCTCCCGTATCTCCAGGTGCCCCCCAGGGACAGCGAGGATCTGACTTACGTCGAGATGCCGGCTGCCACCCCGTGCCCCCAGCCCCCCAGTTCCCCCCCTGCCCCCCAACCCCCCGTTATCTACACGGCCGTGAGCTCTGAGTTGCCGTGCTGATGGGCCTCCCCAGCTGCTTCGTTTGTTGGGGGTGCTGGCAGGGGACAAATTCCCTGCTTGGGACCCCCTGATGTCCTCTCCTTATGCCCTAACGGCTGATCTCCCCTCATCTAACAACCCCACATTCTCACTGCTGCATCCCAAACGCTTCCCACTCACACCAGATCCCCCAAATGCTCAACTCTCACCCCAAAATCCTTCCTTATCCCCTCGAATATCTCAACACACCCTGAGACGTCCAAATCCTCTCCGCTCCGCTCCCAAACGCCGCCACCATTCCTGAGACACCCTGATCTGTCCCAATCCACCCCTCTGATGCAGATCCCCCCAAATGCCCCCTTTCCTCCCCTTCCATCTCCTACAGATGCCCCACAGATCCCCTGTAGACCCCCCCAAAACCCCCCGCCTCCCGTCCTGCCCTGCTTTTATCACTGGTCTCTGGGTGTTGAGCAATTCCTTTGTGCATCGCTTGCTTTGCAGAAGTTCACACATCCGTACGGTTATCAGCGCTGCTGTTTCTCTCTTCCTTTTCGGTCTCAGTAAAGAGATTTTATCTCCACCGATGAATTCTTCCTCATTTTCTCTTGTTCTCTCCCCAAACCCACTGGGAGGGGGGGTGGGTGGGAATAAAAGCTGTGTGGTGCCGAGCTGCTGCTGTGTGACAGCACCACAGCCCTTGGGGTCCCTCCCTCCCTGTGTGAACAGGACGTGGTCCTTACATGGTGCAGGGCTGGTCCCAAACGCTTCCCACTCACACCAAATCCCAAAATGCTCATCTCTAACCCCAGAATCCTTCTGGGAGAGGAGAGGAGAGGAGAGGAGAGGAGAGGAGAGGAGAGGAGAGGAGAGGAGAGGAGAGGAGAGGAGAGGAGAGGAGAGGAGAGGAGAGGAGAGGAGAGGAGAGGAGAGGAGAGGAGAGGAGAGGAGAGGAGAGGAGAGGAGAGGAGAGGAGAGGAGAGGAGAGGAGAGGAGAGGAGAGGAGAGGAGAGGAGAGGAGAGGAGAGGAGAGGAGAGGAGAGGAGAGGAGAGGAGAGGAGAGGAGAGGGGAGGGGAGGGGAGGGGAGGGGAGGGGAGGAGAGGAGAGGAGAGGGGAGGGGAGGGGAGGGGAGGGGAGGGGAGGGGAGGGGAGGAGGGGAGGGGAAGGGAGGGGAGGGGAGGGGAGGGGAGGGGAGGGGAGGGGAGGGGAGGGGGAGGGGAGGGGAGGGGAGGGGAGGGGAGGGGAGGGGAGGGGAGGGGAGGGGAGGGGAGGGGAGGGGAGGGGAGGGGAGGGGAGGGGAGGGGAGGGGAGGGGAGGGGACGGCACCTACAGGTGCCTATATAGAGGTGTCCCCTCTCCTCTCCTCTCCTCTCCCTCTCCTCTCCTCTCCTCCATCCTAATCTGTACTTCCCATCCAGCTCTAAAATCTCCACCCAGCCTCCAAAAAACTTCCATTCACCCCCCCAAAATCGCTGTACACCACCAAACTCTTCCCCTCCACTCACACCCCCCGTCAGCCTCCAAATCTTCAGTCACTCTCAACAGGCCTCCATCCAGTTCCTAAACACAGCCCAGCTCCAAAATCCCCACCCAGCCCTGATCTCTACTTCCAGCCCCAAAATTCCCATCCACCCTCCAAATTTCCATCCATTCCCCATCATCTCTATCCGCCCCACAAATTTCCAGCAACCCAGAAATCTCCATACGCTCCAAATTTTTATATCCAGCTCCACAACTTCCATCCAGCCCCCAAATCCTTCATCCCCACATATCCATCCAGACCCCAAAATCTCCTTCCGGACACAAAATCTCCATTCACCTCCCAAATCTCCACGCAGACCCCAAATCTCCTTGTTCTCTCCCCAAATCCGAACCCAAATCTCCATATTTGAGTCCCGAAAGCCTCCATCCAGCCTTTTAACTCTCCATCCAGCTCACACACAGTCCAGCATTTCCCCTTTCGTTACCAAAAGGGGGAAATCAGCTCTCCTGCCCTTCCTTTCACCACTGCTCCTGCACACAAACTTCCCCTTTCCCCCCATTTGCTGGGCAAACCCCACAACCCCTCTTGCCCTCTTCCCGAAATGCATTTTCCCTCCTCACCACAAATCCTGCCCCAAAACCGTGGTGGGATGGGGGCTGGTTCAGGTGGTGGAGGTGTGGGGAGCGCACGCTAAGGACACACGTGTGCCGTGGGGACAGCCATGGTGCAGACCCAGGGCATGCGTTGATGACACGCGTGTGCTGTGAAGGCGTACATGGAGTGCAGACACAGGGAGCACACGCTAAGGACACACGTGAGCAGCAACGTGTCGGTGCACACGCACGGCGTGGCGCAGACACACGCAGAGGCATGGAATCCAGCGTGTCCCACGCGTGTGTTCGCATCCCTGTGGTGCACACGGGATGGTGCAACACACGTTTAATCCACAGCCACGTGTTCACGTGTGCAGGCACACGGGTGCAAATCACAGGTGATGTGTGCACGCAGCATCCACGTCTTTGTGTCCACAGATGGGGGCGTCAGCGGGGTCCCCCGGTGCCCACCTCGGCGTAGATGGTGGGGGGCTCAGGGGTGGTAAAAGAGCAGGGTGGGGGGGTGCTGTGGGTCAGAGCTTGCAGCTCGGCGTAGGTCAGAGCCTGGCTGTCAGCAGGGGGCACCTGGGGACACACAGGGACAGCAGGGTGACCACGGGATCCCAGCGACGCCTGAGGGGGTGATGGCATTGTGTGGGGGGCTGTGTGAGAGGGGGGGGGAAGGGGGATGAGGTTAGGGGTCTGGGGTGATGTCGATTTTGGGAAGCTGTGGGTGTGATATTGGGGGTGGTGCTTGGGGGTCCCGCTGTGGTTTGGGGCTGCCCGTAGGGTCTGAAGGTGTTGAAAGCTTGGAGCATCCCAGGGGGGCTTCATTTTGTGGTGTGGGGGCATCAGCATGGAGGAGATTTGGGGGTCCCCATGGGCTGGATTTTGGGTTGCACACAACATTATGGGAAGCCATAGAAGGCAGGGGGTTCTTTGCAGTCCCCACAGGCAGGGTTTGGGGTTCCCAGGTGAGGTCTGGGTGAGGGGCAACGGGGCAGGTTGGGGTTAGGGGTCCCCTGACCCAGACACTGACCTGGAACTGCACGGCCTCGTAGCTTCTGGGGGTGGCACCTGAGTCGTAAAAGGGAGGAGAGAAATGTAGGGTTATTGAGGGCCTGAACAGCATCAGGGGAGATCAGTGGGGGATAATATTGGGGAATAAAGGCGTTTAGCTTCTTCCCACCAGGGCTTTGAATCCGTCGTCTGCGGGCGGCGAGGAGAAAAGAGGCCACAAGGACCAGGATGAAGGCAAAGGCAGCAGCGCAGCTCCCAGCCACGGCGGCCACCAGGGTCCCGTGGGGCCACCCGTTGTCACCTGTGGGATGTGGGCGTTCGGGTTTCCCATCCCTGGTCACCACCTGAGTGGAGTTTGGTGTCCTGTCAGCCGTGGGCACCGTGAGGAGCACAGAAGGGGAGGATCAGATTTACCTTGGGATCCAGTCAGGGGGGTCACCTCCAGCGTCACGTTTTCACCAAGGGGTGAGGAAAGAAAGTACAAACCCCCAGGGCGGTAGGAGCACCTATAGGTGCCCGAGTCAGCTGGGGTCACCTCAAAGAGGGTGAAGGTGGCCGTGCCCCCACCATCAGGTTTCTGGTGCTGGATAGGGGCTGAGAGCCCGTCCTTGTGCAGGAAGGTGACCCCATTGTACTTGTTATGGCACTGGATGGTGACGTTGGTCCCTGTCCCCACGTTTCTCCCAGAGCTCATGGAAATGCTGGGCAGGGGATAGGTGCGATCTGTATGCAAAGAGGAGACAGCAATGGGACGTGGCCCTCTGGGGACAGCCCAGGGCCAACCATTGTCCCTGTGCCCTCACCTGTCACCACCAGCTCCACGGGGTCACTCAGCTCCGATGTTCCACGTGGCTCCGACACCCGGTACTGGCACCAATATTTCACTGCATCTTCCTTGTTTACACCATCCAAGGTGAACTCAGCCACATCCAGTGCCATGTCCACGTCCTCCTGCTTTACGAGTCCCCAGCTTTCTTCCTTGTAGAACTCAACTCGTGCAGCCGGCCGGGGCAGGTGGCACCTGAGGGTGACAGCGTCCCCCAGGGACACCCCGTGGCTGGGGTGCAGCGACAGGGAGGGTGGGGGCACTGGGACAGGGGACAGCAGTCAGCCTTGTCCCTGCACGCCCTCCTGGGCCCCTCTGATGGCCCCCTCCCCACGCTGCCCTCCCTCTCTCCCCATTCTCCCCCTGCCCCCATACTCACATTGCTGTGCTCCGCTCGCTGCCGCCAGCCACCAACCTGCAAGGGACACGGTCCTGGTGTCACACAGGGCCACCAACCCCCGTGGCACCACGTCCCCATCGTCACTCACCCAGGATGAGGGCCAGCGCCCTGGGTGCCATGATTCAGGAGCAGCTTGGGGACAGCGAGACTGCAGTGGGGAACAGGGAGTGGCTTCGAGCTGCTTTCAGTTTCCCCCTGGTCTCAGGACGCTGTGATGTCACCTCCTGATGTGGCAACAGGAGCCCATGAGGGTGGTGGCCCTGTGGGGTCCCTCTGTGGTGGCACAAGTGGAGAGGTGCTCCCTGCACACTGGGCCTCCTGAGGCGCCCCACGCTCTGCCGACCCTGGGGTGTCACAGGATGTCCCCAAAGGGCCGCGGCTGTGTGCCCTGGCACGCTGTCCCCCAAAAGAACGCCAGGCTCTCTGCACAGTGCCCCAGAAGGGCAGCCTGTGCTTCCCTGGGCTCTGCAGGGCAACGGAGGCAGGCAGTGACTCGGAGGAACAGCACAAGAGCGTTTATTGAGCTTTCCATCAGCAACCAATCCACGGCCCTGCAACAAAAACAAAATTCGGGGACGTCCCAGGAAGAATCACGGAGCGAGGAGGAGAAAGGATGCTTGGACACTGGTGCCACCGCCTGATCTGCTCCTCGCAGGGAAAGGTGGGTTGTGGCTGCTGCAGAAGAAGAGTGAAATCTGTTTGGAAGGGCAATGAGGAAGAGAGAGGAAAGGAAAGAGGAAACAGAGAGAAGGAGGGCAGGGAGATGAGAGAGACGGAGGGAAAAAAGCAACCGCGGTGCGTTGTGAGGAGCCGCAGGGCTGGAGCAGCAGGGGGATGAGAGCGCTGGTCGGACGGAGGAAGCGTGCAGCCGGCAAAAAGGAGGCAGCAGAAAACGCGGCTCCTGCGGGCATCCCTTCCTGCCTGCTGGTCGGCAGCCGCAGCATCGCCAGGCTGTGAAGCAGCGAGTTCGAAAGGCAAATGGGATCCTGGGCTCCATCAGCAGAGGGGTGGTCAGCAGGGAGAGGGAGGTGATCGTCCCTCTCTACTCGGCTCTTGTGAGGCCCCATCTGGAGTCCTGTGTCCAGGTGTGGAGCCCTCAGTACAAGAAAGACAGAGAGATCTTGGAAAGGGTCCAGAGGAGGGCGACTGAGATGAGCAGGGGGCTGGAGCACCTCCCCTATGAGGACAGGCTGAGGGAGTTGGGCTTTGTTCAGCCTGGAGAAGAGAAGGCTGCGGGGTGACCTCATTGCAGCCTATCAATACCTGAAGGGAACCTACAGCCAGGAGGGGAGTAAACTCTTCAGAAGGGCTGACAACAGCAGGACGAGGGGAAATGGATCCAAGTTGAAGGAGGAAAGATTTAGGTTGGATGTTAGGGGGAAGTTCTTCACAAGGAGAGCAGTCAGGCCCTGGAACGGGCTGCCCAGGGAGGTTGTGATGCCCCGTCCTTGGACGTGTTCAAGGCCAGGTTGGACGGGGTCCTGGGCAACCTGATCTGAATGTGTGTGTTTGGTGGCCCTGCTGGGCAGGGGGGTTGGAACTACATGATCCTTGAGGTCCCTTCCAAGCCGGGTGATTCTGTGATTCTGTGATTCTGTTCCCAGCGCCGCGTTGGTCAGCAACGCGTCTGTGCCAGAAGCGCTCGTGCGGTGCAGCAGCGCCACCGGTGGGCGCACCAAGGCTGCGCGGTGATCTCACGGCGCCTGGGGCCCTGCAGCCTCGGCTGCGATGGCAGGAGCCTGGTCTGGCGCGTGTTGGAGAGGCAGCAAGTGCAGCCAACGGGTCAGAAAAGGAGTTTTGTTGGCCGGCTGTCGTTGCGTGGAGCGGAGAGCGGCCGTGCGAGGAGCTGCGGCGGTGAGGTGCCTGCGGTGGCAGCGACGGCCCTGCTGAGCACGAGGAGCACAGCGCATCCGTGGCCGCCGTCACACGAGCGCACGAAGCAGCCGGAAGCCCGGGGGGTTGGGGGGTGGAGGATTGAAGGTCAGAACTCGCGGGTGGTGATGATCAAATTTGTTTGCTGAGGCTGCAGAGAGCGATGGCCGTGAGCGCCGTCACGACATCCATGGCAGATTTTTGCACAGCGACACGCGGCACGGCGCCTCCAAAGCTGCTGATGCTGAGAGCAGGGCAGGAGGGCAGCAGGGAGACGCTGGGTGGGATCTGCAGGGGGTCGGAGTGGAGGTGGGGGGCAGCGGTGTGGGGTCGGTGGGCGCTCGGTGCGAGTGTGGGGTGGATGGGGAAGGATTTGGGTGTCGTCTAGGAATGGAGTTGGGTTTTGGGGTGGGTGAAGGAGTGCTTGGGGTCTGAAGGGATGCGATGGGATTGGAGGGGGATCAGGAAGGATTTGGGGGTGAGAGCGGAGAATTCCGGTGGGTGTGGGAAGGAGGTGAGGATTTGGAGATGTCAGCTTTGTGGGGATTTGGGGATGAAAGGGTGGATGGTGATGTGATGGAGCTCCAAGCGGGGAATTTGGGCTGCGTCCCTTTCAGAGCCCCTTCAAACCGAGGCACCGTTGGCGTGGGGGTATCAGTGGGGGTCCCGCAGTGCCCACGGGGGGGAGATGATGGGGGGCTGAGGGGTGGCAGCTGGCCTGGGTGGTCGGAGACCAGGGCTCACAGCAGGAATCTCGGCGCAGGTCAGACGCTCGCTGTCACCACGGGGGAACCTGGAGACACAGGGGAACACCTGGGTGCCACCATGGGGGTTTGCAACAGGCTTTGGAGGGGGACTGATGGGGTTTGGGGGTGGTGTTCAAGAGGGCGGGGGTGGAGTTGTGCTGTCCTTCCATCTGAGGGTCCCAAGGGGGGCGTTTGGGGGTCCTGCTGTGGTTTGGGTGTGGGACCGCGGCGTTCAGGGATGGTGGGACCGCAGCGGATTGGATTTCTCGTCCCTGAGGGTTCAACATTGGGGTTCCACGTGCGCAGCTTTTGGGGTTCCCTTCTCTGGGTTTGTGAGTGCTTGGTGGGGGGTGGGACGTGTTGAGAGCCTGCAGAGCTGCAACGAGTGTGAAGGCTGAGATCTGGAGTCTGGCTTCAGCACGGGATGCAGAACTCGAGTCCCCCGTCAGCTGGGTTTGGGAGATTCCTCATGAAGTCAGGGTAAGCCATCGGGGGTTGGTGGTCCTTGGGGGTAACGATGAGCAGGGGTTGGTGAGGCCCCAAGGGGAATGTGGGGTTTGGGTCCCCTGACCCAGACACTGACATGGAACTGCATTCGGGGGGGCAGTTTGGGGGGGTTCTGTGTCAGCAACTGGAGGAGATGGGAGTTGTGGGGGGTCATGAATCAGGGAGCTCTGAAGGGAATCTGTAGGGGCTGAAAGGGCATCAAGGGGCACCTGGGAGGATGCGGATGGGACAGAAGTGCAGGCGGGGGACAGTGGGGGAATCAGCAGGGGGTGGCGGGCATGGAAATCCTTCCTCACCGCGGCTCTGATCTGCCCGTATCCAGAGGCTGCGGGCATCGATGAGGAAGAAAAGGCCGAGGCCAAAGACGAGCGCAGCCACAAAGCCCCTCACCAGTGCCAGCACCAGATTGGCACGGGACTGCTGCTCAGCACCCGTGGGCTCTGCAGGTTCGGGCGCCCCTATTGCCAGCCACAGCCCCCAGTCAGAGCGGATGGAGGGACACAGCCAGCCATCCAGGGCAGGGGGGTGCGCAAATGGGGAGCTCAGACCCACCTGGGGGTGCAGGTGTGGGTGCCACCTCCAGAGTCACGTTGTTCCCAATGGGTGAGGACAGGAAGCGCTGAGCCCAGGGGCGGCAGGAGCAGCTATAGGTGCCGCTGTCAGCCGGGGTCACCCCAAGGATGGTGAAGGTGGCCGTGCCCAGCACACGGAGCTCCTGGCGCTGGATGGGGGCTGAGCACCCATCCTTGTGCAGGAGGAAGTCGGCCCCACAGCCCTGGTTCCAGCACTGGATGCTGACGTTGGTCCCTGACCCCACACGTTTTGCAGGGCTCAGGGAAATGCTGGGTGGGGGGAAGCTGCGATCTGCACGAGGGAGGGGACAGCAGTGGGACGCGGTCCTGTTGGCAGCACCCAGTGCCACCTGCTGTCCCCTGTGCCCTCACCTGTCAGCACCAGCTCCACGGGGTCGCTCAGCTCCGATGTCTCTGCTGACCCATACAGGTGATACTGACACCGATACGGACCTGCGTGCTCCCGCTTTGTGCTTACAAAGGAGAACTCTGCAGTGTCCTGCTCCTCGTCCTTGTACTTGAGATATGTCCAATGTTCTCCTTTGTACAGCCAGACCCAGGCAGCCGACTGGGTCAGGTGGCACCTGAGGGTGACAGCGTCCCCCAGGGACACCCCGTGGCTGGGGTGCAGCGACAGGGAGGGTGGGGGCACTGGGACAGGGGACAGCAGTCAGCCTTGTCCCCGCACGCCCTCCTGGGCCCCTCTGATGGCCCCCTCCCCACGCTGCCCTCCCTCTCTCCCCATTCTCCCCCTGCCCCCATACTCACGTTGCTGTGCTCCGCTCACTGCCGCCAGCCACCAACCTGCAAGGGACACGGTCCTGGTGTCACACAGGGCCACCAACCCCCCCCATGGCACCACGTCCCCGTCGTCACTCACCCAGGATGAGGGCCAGCGCCATGGGTGCCATGATTCAGGAGCAGCTTGGGGATGGAGAGACTGCAGTGGGGTCAGGAAGTGGCCGGAGAGCTGCTGTCAGTTCCCCTTTTGGGACAGGATGCTGTGATGTCACCTCCTGATGTGGCAGTTGTGGTCCCCAAGGTGTGATGTCTTTGGGGATGCGCCACAGGCTTCCAGGCACCGGATGCCGCCAGCAGCGGGTTGGTGACAGAGCAAGAAGTTGCCCTGGGATTTGTCATTTCGGGGGCAGCCTCGTGTAACTTCTGATCCATGGATGGGGAAAATGGCAACGTGGATTTCAGGCGTTGTAAGAGTGGTTTTCCTCCTGCTGAGAGGCACGATGGCCAGTGTTGTTTTGGGTGCTTTCTGCTCACTGCAAGCTTGGTTTGGGGCTTCTTGTTTCAGTGTTTTGCCCCAGAAACACCAGCAGTGTTGGTTGTGTCATGGGCTGATCCTGGTTTGTAGCGGGGACAGAAGGAAGGAAGGGATGGGGAGGAAGGAAGCCGACAAATGTCCAGAGGTGGGATGGATTTGCATCAAAATTCAGCCCTCAGCAGGAAACCCTGACGTGAGGAATTGGAAGTTGAATCTGAACTGGTGACAACGCACCCTGGGCCCTGGTGGGGTGAGGTCTGCACTGACCCACGTGCTGCCAACCGTCACCTGGCTCTACGCTGGGATCATTTCACAAGGTCTGGGGTCTGTGAAGCTCTTGAGGACACGCAGAGCCTCCACCACCTCCACAAGAACACGTGGAGGGGATGCCCTTCTCCCCGTGCCCATCCAACCTCCAGCAGGAGCCCGGCCCACGTGTGCCTGCTGCCATCGCCTCCTTCTACCAGCTCCATCTCACTGGAGCGACCGGTTCGGATCCAAGGACCTCCAGAACTGGGGGAAAAGAGCAGCCTGAATCAACGTTGCAGGACGAAAGGTCTGTTTTTAAACAAATGTGGGACTCTTCCAGCTCCTGCCCTGCACCCACGCTGGCACCGGGTCTTCCTGAAAGCCAGCGGCTCTGGGGCCGCTGCTGCTGCTGGTAACCGCACTCGGCGTGCAGGGTGAGTGCCCAGCTTGTGACCACATCCACAGCATAGAAACCACAGCTTCTCTGAGCAGAAATCTGGTCCTTTTCCCCCCAGGGTGATACCTGGGCTTCGTGTTGGGTTGGGGTTGGCCGCCCAGCGATCCCAGGGCCTCACTCGACACGGGCAGGAGAGGCGAGCAATATTTCTATCATTTCAGCTGGCTTCGCTCACTGAGCGCCACCAAAACCAGAATAAGGTTTGCGGAAAAGCTCAAGGGCCCCGAACCCCATCCAAAACCCTGCTTGGTTCCCCGTGGCTTCGTCCCCAGGCAAACCCATCTCAGCCCAGTTTCTGCCTCAGATGTTTATTTGGAAAGCGACACCGCATCCAAGCGCTTCCCAGTGAGATCTGGGGCAGGAATGGGGTGCAGCCGTGTGCGATCTCTTATCTCTTCCCTTCTGCAATGTCTTTATTTGGGAGGACAGGGAGGAACATGGAGGAGCAGCTCCTGAGGGAACCTTCATGGAAGGAGCCTGGGATGGGGGACAGAACTCGAGATTATGGGGACATCTGTGGGGGGGGATTTTGGGGGAGCGCAGTTTTGAGGGGCGCCGGTTTGATGTGTGGGGTGGGGAAGAGTGGGGCAGCCTCCCTGCAGGTTTCCCGTGGGGCTGCGGTGTCACGGATGGAAATTTGGCTTCTCCTGAGCTGCTACGAGGAGAGGAAGGAGGGAGGATCTCAAAAGTGGGGTGAATGTATTTCCAAAGGAGATCCAAAGTAGGGCCCTGCCCCACAGACAGCTCAGTAGATTCGGTGACCCCCCACCCCCCCCAAACCCTGCCCCATTGCTCACCTCACAGATTTGGAGTCCCCCTCAACCAAGCACACACAACCCCTAGATCTGGAGATGCTACAATCCCCTGTGTTGCCCTTTGGGGACAGCGTGTGACACCAGAAGGGTGACAGCCAACGTGGGGCACCCCAGCAAGGGCGGCGCGCGCCATTCCAAGCGTGCCGTCCCATCCCAGGCCACACGGGGCCACAACTTGGGGACCACAATTGTCACGTGGGAAGGTGACACGATGGAATCCTGTCCCCAGGGGGAACAGACAGAGGTTCTCCAGCCATTCCCTGGCCCCACTGCAGTCTTGCCACCCCCAAGCTGCTCCTGAATCACGGCACCCACGGCGCTGGCCCTCATCCTGGGGGAGTGACAGTGCAGGACAGTGCCACCCCCCATTGGCTGAACCCACACTGCCATCCCTGATCCTTTCCTCTTCCCGTCTTTCTCTTCCCTGCACCCCACCTCCTTCTCTTCCCCTTTCCTCTCCTCAAGCTGTCCAGGCACTGCTTATTTCCATTTATTTATGGCTTATTTCCATTTCTTCTCGTCGCGTCGCTCAGCTAAGCAGAGATGTAACAGCCAGAGCATCAACACCTCCACGACAATGACAGGAATGAGAGATTCTCATTCCACTTTCTGGTTGCATTTGGACCTTCAGTGCCAGTTTCACCTTCGTGGGTTCCCATGGGAGGCCCCAGCTCTGCACCGAGTCACGGTCCTTCATCCCAGGGCACCTGAGGTCCCAGAGCCCACGGTTGCCGTTGGAGAAAGCAGCAGAGAAGGCACCAATTGCCTCTGCTTCGTCTCTGCCCCTTGTTTGGAAGGCGTCCGTTCTCATCCAGACCTGAACCGATGCTCTGGCTGCTCCTGCCTTTGTTGCTCATCCATTTCGTACCCCTCTCTGTTGCCCCGCACAGCATCGTGCAGCTTCACCCCTCACTGAGCTTTGCCCACGCAAAACTCCGCACAGTGGGGACAGAATGTGGCGCCCAAAGATGTGGTGACAGCTGGCTGGATGTGTTGGAGAGCACAGGTGACATCCCATGGGATAAACCCCACTGGGGCCACACGTCCTGTGTTTGGCATCCCGAGGGCGACACCAAGCAAGGCCAAGCGGTGGCGGAACTTTGGGGGCGCTGTGTGACATCCCAGGGTCGACTGTTTGTGTGGGGCACAGCAAGGACGCCTTCTGTGCCGCTGCTTGTGAGCCACCCCATCAGCTTCAAAACGCTGCCACTCCCTGGGGACTGAATTTAGCACTTGAGGAGGTGACATCACAGCATCCTGTCCCAAAAGGGGAACTGAGAGCTGCTTTCTCTCACCACTCCCTGTTCCCCCACTGCAGTCTCGCCGTCCCCAAGCTGCTCCTGAATCATGGCACCCATGGCGCTGGCCCTCATCCTGGGTGAGTGACGATGGGGACGTGGTGCCACGGGGGTTGGTGGCCCTGTGTGACACCAGGATCGTGTCCCTTGCAGGTTGGTGGCTGGAGGCAGCGAGAGGAGCACAGCAACGTGAGTATGGGGGCAGGGGGAGAATGGGGAGAGAGGGAGGGCAGCGTGGGGAGGGGGCCATCAGAGGGGCCCAGGAGGGCGTGCAGGGACAAGGCTGACTGCTGTCCCCTGTCCCAGTGCCCCCACCCTCCCTGTCGCTGCACCCCAGCCAGGGGATAGAAGTGGGGGACGCTGTCACCCTGCGCTGCCACCTGCCCCCAGTGCAAGCCTGGGTCTGGCTGTACCACGATGGAGGTAGGACACAGAACAAGTACCAGGACAAGGAGCAGGATGCGGTCGAGTTCTCCTTCGTTATCACAAGCTGGGAGCACGCAGGGACGTACCGGTGCCAGTACCACGTGTCTGAGCCACTGGGGACATCGGAAAAGAGCGACCCCGTGGAGCTGGTGCTGACAGGTGAGGGCAGTGGGGATAACAGAGAGCTTTGGGTTGTACCCACAGGGCTGTGTCCCACCTCTCCCTCCCCTCCCTGCACGCAGATCGCAGCTTCCCCCCACCCAGCATTTCTCTGAGCTCCGAGGGACGCGTGATGGCAGCAATCAACATCAGCATCTGCGTGGAGAGGGGGTCCAACGTCACCATCCGGTGCTGGAACTGGGATTACGGATCCTCCTTCCTCCTGCACAAGGGTGGGCGCTCAGCCCCCATCCAGCACCAGGACCCCAGTGGGGGAGCAGTGGCCACCTTCGCCCTCTTTGGGGTGTCCCCAGCTGACACCAGCACCTACAGCTGCTCCTACCGCCCCTGGGGTCACCCCTTTGTGTCCTCACCCCTCGGGGACGGCGTGACGCTTGAGGTGACATCCCCACCTACACGTCCAGGTAGGTCTGAGTCCGACGTGCGTTTGTCCCTCGTGTCACCCATGGGTGGCGGTGTCACCTCGTCCCGTCCCCAGCCAGGGGACGCCATCACCCAAACACCCGAAATGCACAGGTGACACTGCGGAATCCCGTGGGAGCCTGGTTGTGGCAGTGGCAGGGGGCTGCGCCACTGCCCTGGCCTTCAGCCTCATCATCTTCTTCCTCCTGCCTGCCTGCAGACGGCGGACACAGAGCACGGCCAGCTCTGGTGAGGAAGGAATGAACAGCTTCATCCCCCCCGAGATGCCACAAGCACCCACTGCTGCCCATTGCACCCCCCTGGAGTCCCTGCTTCCCTGCCCATCCTGCGTAAATCCCCCTCCATGCCCCCCCCCCCCCCCGGTGTCCCTCTGAGCTCCTCCGTAACCTCGGCTCTCCCCCCTTCCCACTTTTTGATGCAGGTGAACCCCTCAAGAGTTCCAAGGCCAATGAGCTCCAGGTAAAAGTCTCTGTGTGCTGACGAAACTGCCCTCTAACCCCTGCCCCCCACCCCCCCCCCCCCACCAATCTGAACCATAGGAGGAACCCCAAACCCTGCCCATGGGGAACCCAGAGGGCCTCCAGCTCTGCATGGCTTACCCTAACTTTCTTTACTCTCCCCAAACCCAACCCGTGGGGAACCCAAATCCACGCCGCGGTGCGTCCCCACATCCTTCATCTCAGCCTCCGTGTCCCCTGGGTGCATCCAAACCCTATAAGCTCTGTGAACGTCGCAGAACACGAACCCAAAACACCCCTCATCCGGACCCTGGGTGCCTGACCCACGGGCACTGACCATCACAGCCACCCGTCGGATCTCCAAACCCTAAATGTTCACTAAATACCCCATGGGCAACCTTTAAACACCTGTGCCGTACCTACAGCAATCCCAAATCTAAGCCCTCCACCCTTCACCATCCCCCAGGCCCCATGGGCACCCCTGAGCCAAGCAGTTTGAACCCCTAACAACACTTGCAGCATCAGAGTCTGACCCACGCAGACCCCGAATCTCAGCCAGCCCAGAACCACGAGCGCGCTCTCTTGGCTCTTACTCTGCGTACTGGGATCACTGGTCCCCCCACAAACACTATGGGGAACCCCATGGTAGCACCCCGCTGTTCCCCTGTGTCTCCAGGTGCCACCCGGTGACAACGAGGGGCTGACCTACGCTGAGCTGCAAGCTGTGACCCCCAGCTTCTGCCGCCCTGGCGCCAGCACGGCCCCCCAACCCCCTGTTCTCTATGCCGAGGTGGGCACTGGGAGACCCCACTGATGCCCCCCACGTGGGTTGCCTCATTTTTGGAGTGCAAGAATGGAAACAGACACCAAACTCCCCGCTTGGGTCCCATGGAGGCCCTCTGCTCCCCCAGCCCCACAGATCCCCCCACATTTAACGCCCCCCAAATCCCCACTGCTGTGCACCAAATCGTCCCCACAAATCCCTGAGCGGTCATCGCTGCCGTCGCCGTCCATCCTTATCACCTAAATTGCTTTACACCCCTGCAGACCTCCAAAACCCCCCCAGTCTACCTCCAAGCCCCACCAGCACAGCCCCCCAGCCCCCTGTTCTCTATGCCGAGGTGGGCTCTGGGAGACCCCACTGATGCCCCCCACGTGGGTTGCCTCATTTTTGGAGTGCAAGAATGGAAACAGACACCAAACTCCCCGCTTGGGTCCCACAGATGCCCTCTGCTCCCCCAGTCCCACAAATCTCCCCACATTTAACGCCCCCCAAATCCCCACCTCTGTGCACCAAATCGTCCCCACAAATCCCTGAACGGTCATCGCTGCCGTCGCCGTCCATCCTTATCACCTAAATTGCTTTACACCCCTGCAGACCTCCAAAACCCCCCCAGTCTACCTCCAAGCCCCACCAGCACAGCCCCCCAACCCCCTGTTCTCTATGCCGAGGTGGGCACTGGGAGACCCCACTGATGCCCCCCACGTGGGTTGCCTCATTTTTGGAGTGCAAGAATGGAAACAGACACCAAACTCCCCTCTTGGGTCCCACAGATGCCCTCTGCTCCCCCAGCCCCACAGATCCCCCCAGATTTAACGCCCCCCAAATCCCCACCGCTGTGCACCACATCGTCCCCACAAATCCCTGAGCAGTCATCGCTGCCGTCGCCGTCCATCCTTATCACCTGGATTCCTTTCCACCCCTGCTGCAGGTCCGACCTCCAAACCACCCCTTTCTACCCCCAAACCCCACCAACGCTCTTGAAGGACCCCCACAGCTCTCAAACTCCGCACCAAACTCCACCCCCTGCCCTGGGGGACCCCTGGATTGGTCCCGATTCACCACGAGAGGCCCCCTATCACTGCAGTGGTGGTGTAACAACGGCTGCGCGCTCCCCCCACGTGTGCAGTTCTGCTCTCACACACGTGTCACCATCACCGCTGCTGAAACACGGCCGCCTCACAGCGCTCGCATCCTCTGGTGGGTCTCAAGCTTCAATGAACATCAATGGTGCCGTTAATTCTGCATGGGGGAATTCAGTTCTGGCCCCACATCCGTGTCAGATGCCACTGTGCCACTGTGTCCCCTCTGCTGCCTCCTGGCACCTGGCAGCAAAGTGGGACGGGGCACTGGTGCGAAGGTTCCACCCCTGCTGCTGCCCTGATGCCAAGATAATAAATCAGCAGGTGAGACTCTCAGAACAGCCCCCATGAATGAAATGGTGCCGTTCTGCTCTTACCAACTGACCTTATTTTGTTGCTTTCATGTCGGTTATTGAAAGTAAAACAAAATAGAGAAGAGGAACATAAAACCAGCGAGGCGTTTGCCCTTGTTTTTGTGAAGCAAATCGGTCCGGATCCGTGGGAGCAGCTGCAGCTCTTAGCGAGCTCTCAGGTGTCCGCCAGGGAGTTCTGATGACATTTCCCCTCCTCCTGTGCTCCGTCCTTGGCAATAATGGCTCACAGATGTCCGTGCCCCAAAGGGCCGAGCCGCGGATGAGGCGGACGTGGAGCCAACGGCCGCTTCTCTCTGCACAGCGAGGGCTGATGGAGTCTGGCAGAGACACACGGCCTCAGTTCTGAGCCGAACGCCCGGCTGTGACTCTGCGAGTGCATCCAAAAGTTCACAGCTCCTGTGCTCGTGTGGAGACAAAAGAAAACAGATCTCGCATCAGCCCCCAAAACGGATCACAGAATCACAGATGATTTCCTCAGCCTAACCCTAAACTTAACCTGAATCGAGGACCAAACCCTAACCCTAAACTCTAAAACTAACCCTAACCCTAACCCTAACCCTAACCCTAACCCTAACCCTAGCCCTAACCCTAACCCTAACCCTAACCCTAACCCTAACCCTAACCCTAACCCTAGCCCTAACCCTAACCCTAGCCCTTACCCTAACCCTAACCCTTACCCTAACCCTAACCCTAACCCTAACCCTAACCCTAAACTCTAAACCTAACCCTAACCCTAACCCTAACCCTAACCCTTATCCTAATCCTAACCCTAACCCTAACCCTTAACCCTAACCCTAACCCTAACCCTAACCCTAAACTCTAAACCTAACCCCAACACTAACCCTAACCCTAATCCTAACCCTAACCCTTACCCTAACCCTAACCCTAACCCTAACCCTTACCCTAATCCTAACCCTAACCCTAACCCTTAACCCTAACCCTAACCCTTACCCTAACCCTAACCCTAAACTCTAAACCTAACCCTAACACTAACCCTAACCCTAACCCTAACCCTAACCCTAACCCTAGCCCTAACCCTAACCCTAACCCTAACCCTAACCCTTACCGAACCCTAACCCTAACCCTAACCCTACCCTAACCCTAACCCTAACCCTAACCCTAACCCTAACCCTAACCCTAACCCTAGCCCTAACCTTAACCCTTACCCTAACCCTAACCCTAACCCTAACCCTAACCCTAACCCTAACCCTAGCCCTAACCCTAAACCTAACAATAACCCTAACCCTAACCCTAACCCTAACCCTATCCCTAACCTTTAACCCTTACCCTAACCCTAACCCAAACCCTAACCCTAACCCTAACCCTAACCCTAACCCTAACCCTAACCCTAACCCTAACCCTAACCCTAACCCTAACCCTAACCCTAACCCTGACCCCAAGTCATTTCCTCAGCGCTTTTTGAGCCCTGTTCTCCAATCCCCACACACAGCCACCTCTTAATGCTGCTCACAGCTCTGAGCATCGCCCCACAACCAGCCCTGCGGGACCCGACTTCTCCTCCATCTCCCCACACAAACTCCTCATTCCTCAGGGATCCCTGCACCCTTCCCAGCCCTGCCCCCAAAACAAACCCACCACTCCTCTGGAAAGCAAAACTCCCTGCAATCCACCCCAAAACCCGGCCGCCAGTCCTGTGGGACCTCAGATGTGTCCCCAGCCACCCCAAGGCCACCAGGCAGCCACGTATCCGACCACGCGTGTGCAGCTGTGCCCACGTGGGCTACATGCTTGTCTGCGTGACGTCACGTGTGCACACGGATCCACGTACAAATTGATGCACATCTGTGTGTCCTCAGCACATGACAAAGGCCCGGGTGGTGTCACTGTGTCCCCAAATGTCCCTGCGATTTCCCCAGCGGGGATGGCAGAGGGAAGCACGGTGGGGACACAGTGCGGGGCCTAAAATGAGGGGTGACAGCAGGCTGGATGTGTTGGGGACCTTTGTGCGACGTCGCATGTGGGACAAAGCATGGGAGCCACGTCCTGTGTTTGGCGCCCCGTGGGGGACAACGTGCAGGGGCCACGTGCTGGCAGACCTTTGGGGACAGTGTGTGACACCCAAGCCACGACAAACTGCAAAGGAGAATCCAGCGGGGGCTGTTTGCACAGCTCCATGCCTGCCGCGCTGCTGGGGACCCCACAGGGCCACTTCCTCTATGGGCTCCTGCTGCCACATCAGGAGGTGACATCACAGCATCCTGTCCCAAAAGGGGAACTGGAAGGAGATCAATGCTGCTCTCTGTCCCCACTGCAGTCTTGCCGTCCCCAAGCTGCTCCTGAATCATGGCACCCATGGCGCTGGCCCTCATCCTGGGTGAGTGACGATGGGGACGTGGTGCCACGGGGGTTGGTGGCCCTGTGTGACGCCAGGACCGTGTCCCTTGCAGGTTGGTGGCTGGTGGCAGCGAGCGGAGCACAGCAATGTGAGTATGGGGGCAGGGGGAGAATGGGCAGAGAGGGAGGGCAGCGTGGGGAGGGGGCCATCAGAGGGGCCCAGGAGGGCGTGCAGGGACAAGGCTGACTGCTGTCCCCTGTCCCAGTGCCCCCACCCTCCCTGTCGCTGCACCCCAGCCACGGGGTGTCCCTGGGGGACGCTGTCACCCTGCGCTGCCACCTGCCCCAGTCGGCTGCCTGGGTCTGGCTGTACAAAGGAGAACATTGGACATATCTCAAGTACAAGGACGAGGAGCAGGACACTGCAGAGTTCTCCTTTGAAAGCACAAAGCGGGAGCACGCAGGTTCATATCGGTGTCAGTACCGGGTGTCCTGGTCAGCATTGACATCAGAGCTGAGCGACCCCGTGGAGCTGGTGCTGACAGGTGAGGGCACAGGGGACAGCAGGTGGCACTGGGTGCTGCCAACAGGACCGCGTCCCACTGCTGTCCCCTCCCTCGTGCAGATCGCAGCTTCCCCCCACCCAGCATTTCCCTGAGCCCTGCAAAACGTGTGGGGTCAGGGACCAACGTCAGCATCCAGTGCTGGAACCAGGGCTATGGGGCCGACTTCCTCCTGCACAAGGATGGGTGCTCAGCCCCCATCCAGCGCCAGGACTCCAATGGTGGAGATGCAGCAGAGTTTACTCTGCTTGCGGTGACCCCGGCTGACAGCGGCACCTATAGGTGCTCCTACCGCTCCAGGAACCACACCTTTGTGTCTTCAGCCCTTGGGAACAACGTGACTCTGGAGGTGGCACCCACACCTGCACCCCCAGGTGGGTCTGAGCCCCCCGTTTCGGTGTCCCTGCTGTCACTCATTGCTGGCAGGGCCTCTGCATCCCATCCCCGTGGGGGTGACGGCCGGGGATGAGGACATGCACACTGCTGGACCCCGCAGGTGACGCGAGGAGGTCCCTGGTGGTGGCGGTGGTGAGGGGCTGCGCTGCTGCCCTCGTCTTTGGCCTGGGGCTCTACTTCGTCCTCGATGCCCGCAGCCTCTGGATACGAAGAGATGACAGCCCTGGTGGGGAAGGCAGCTGAATCCCTTTGACACCCCACAGAGCAGCTTTAGATCCCCCCAAGTACGTTCTGCTTCCTCCTTGATGGTGCATAAACCCTCCAATCTCCCTCCCACACCATCAGCGCCATTTACATCCCTCCAGCTGCGCCTTTCCTTGTCCTCCACGTTGCTCAGGTGTTTAAATCCCCTTAAAACCCCGACCCCAGAGGAGTTCAAGGCCAGATTGGATGGGGCCCTGGGCAGCCTGGTCTGGTATTAACTGGGGAGGTCGGTGGCCCTTCGTGTGGCTTGGGATTGGAGATTCATGATCCTCGAGGTCCCTTCCATCCCCGGCCATTCTGTGACTCTGTGAACTTCCCCCTGCCTCCGCTTCCATGCACGGCTGATCCCCCTCGTGCTCTTTGGTTCTGTCCCCAATCCCCACCCTACTCCCCTCCACATTTTGATGCAGGTGCCCCCTCATCCAGGAAGGCTGAAGCCATGCAGTTCCAGGGCCATGTCTGAGTCAGCGAGTCCTTGAGCTCTTCCTGCCCCTTGCATCCCCTGCAAACCCCACAGCAAACTCCAAACCAGGGACATCACGGCACTCTCAGCCTCTTACGGCTCACCTCAGCTTGACGTGCGACCCCACATCCAGCCCATGGGAAAAGCAAAACCTACGCGATGAGAATTCCAACTCAAATCTCCTCGGATTTCCTGCCGCCCTCCCAGCTCTGCACACCCCCACTTCCTACGTGCACCCAAAAAACGGAGTGCATTGGGCCCAGATGGGCCTCAGCCTGCACAAAAACCCCAGGGAATCCTTAACCTCCTGCACAGCCCCCACATCCCGTGGGCGCCCCCAAGCTGCAGTGGAAACCCCAAAAGCCATGCATGGGGACCCCCAGTATCCCACTGTGAGAATCCTTCTCTGTTTTTTTGGCTCAAAGCTTGCTTCCTGAGGTATTTCTTGGGATAAGACTCTGAATGATTTGTTGAGGAGGCAACTAATAGGTGCTAACCGTGTGACAATGGATATCGCTTTGGGAACATTTGAAAGCCCCTTCCCCCAGAGCTGCTTGCTCTGTAGAAGAGCGGGTGAGAATGCTCAGCAGTGTTTAATGGTGGAAGATCTGGCCTGTGACAAAACAGCTCCAGCCAGGTGTGGGAAAACAGGGGAACGATACCATGGTGTTCTGTGAGAAACAGGATGCAGATGGGCACCCCTGCTCCCTCTTATCTGCTGGCAAGGCCCGGAAGATGGGAACAAAGGAGTTTCTGCTGAGATCCCAGAGCCAGAAGCTGCCACTCAAAGGAGAGCTGACTCGACCGCTTTGGATTTGCGCTGTCACTCCAAAGGTAGCTGACTTCACCACCTTGAAACCATTGAAAAGGGGCCGTCATCACCATTGTGTTTCGTCGTCGTCATTGGCAACAGGACAACTCTGCCTGACGACCCACCGCTACTGAAGATCAAAGACTGAACTATGAACCACGCTGGATCCATGGTGCTGACTGCGTCCCTCTTGCTTCCTATAAAGACTCCTTGCCTCTTCTTTTCTATCTTTCCTATCGCCCTCCTTCCCTTCCCCCATTATCCTAATTCATAATAGTGTCCGTCCTCCCCTTTCCCTGATTTCCCTCCCCATTTCCCTGATTAAGATTTGTAATAAACTGGTTGGACCAACATTGGAACCGTTGCTTCTTAATCTCACGCCAGGTACAGAGATAATAAAAGAACCTCCTCTCCCTCCTATAGATTGGAGCGAGACACCCACAGATGGAGTCCCCAGATCCCCCAGCCCTGAACACTCCTCAGAACTCAGGGGCACCCTCAAACTGTAAGGAAACACCCCAGAAACACGCTGCGATCCCCAAAACAAAGGGAACCTGGACTCCAAAGCCCACCCTTACTGCTAACTGATCTTAGCCACCAGACCCCCAAATGTCATCCCCAGATCCTCACCGCCCTCCCCCATACAACGACACCAAACACACAAATGCCCACTTCTCACCCCAAAATACTTCCTTATTTTCCCCAAATACCTCAACACCCGTGGAAATCCCCAAGTGCTTCCCAGGTTTCAGCGTCGATCAGAAGGCACTGAGCAGTGGTGCTGAGCACCAGTCCTTTGTAAACACAGAAATCCGATGACCTTTGCTGTTATTGCTCTCTTCCTTTTCTTCTCCTGCGAATAACTTTGATGCCAACCCACGAGTTGGGCCTCCTGTTGGTCTCCTTTCCTCCCCAGACCACACAGAGGGGGGGCGGTGATGGAAGGGCAGCGCGGTGCTGAGCAGCTGCCGGGTGGCAGCACTGCACTCCTTCGTCTATCCATTCTCAATAAAAAATGAAAAGTAACACCGCATTTTTATTTCATCTAGAACATTCCGTACTTCAGTCTGAGCCTAGCAGATACTGAATTTGGAGTGTAAGGCTGTCACTGCATTTCACTTTTGAAAAGTCTTTAAATGTAAGCTGCATTTTTAAATGTTGAATTGCAGCTTGTTTTAATGTCACTGTTGTTACATAGCAAATAGGAAAATTAGTGATTAGTCAGCTTTACAACTTTGTGATTTTTTTTCCTAAGCTCTTGATAGACTTTCCTACTCAGCTGTACCTTGTATTTTTAGTGACAAGTAAATGCCCATTCTCTTCTGACCAGTATTATTTCCTCAAGCTCTTCCTGCTCTCACTTGAATCTTGCAGCTGTCGTACACCTCTGCTATATTCCAAAGCAGCATTTGAGTCCTGAAATGTAAAAAAAGAAAAAAAAATCAAAAAAAAGCAGTATCTTTATATCCTTCACATGTAATTTTTTATACCTGCACGTTTGCCCAACGTGGGGCCCGAAGGGCGGAGATCCCAGCAGCCGTGAGCAGAGCGCGATCCAACACAACGGCACCCAGCGGCACAGCAGCCTCAGCTCCTTCGCTCCGCGCCATCACAGCCCTCATTGCTGCTGCCTTCGCCCCGCTGGCGCCGCTTCTCATCTCTGACGGCTGCCCCGCTGTTCTGGCAGCTTCTGCCTGCAGCTTCGTGCTCTCGTGTGACGGCGGCCACGGATGCGCTGTGCTCCTCGTGCTCAGCAGGGCCGTCGCTGCCACCGCAGGCACCTCACCGCCGCAGCTCCTCGCACGGCCGCTCTCCGCTCCACGCAACGACAGCCGGCCAACAAAACTCCTTTTCTGACCCGTTGGCTGCGCTTGCTGCCTCTCCAACACGCGCCAGACCAGGCTCCTGCCATCGCAGCCGAGGCTGCAGGGCCCCAGGCGCCGTGAGATCACCGCGCAGCCTTGGTGCGCCCACCGGTGGCGCTGCTGCACCGCACGAGCGCTTCTGGCACAGACGCGTTGCTGACCAACGCGGCGCTGGGAACAGAATCACAGAATCACAGAATCACCCGGCTTGGAAGGGAGCTCAAGGATCATGTAGTTCCAACCCCCCTGCCCAGCAGGGCCACCAAACACACATTCAGATCAGGTTGCCCAGGACCCCGTCCAACCTGGCCTTGAACACGGCCAAGGACGGGGCATCACAGCCTCCCTGGGCAGCCCGTTCCAGGGCCTGACTGCTCTCCTTGTGAAGAACTTCCCCCTAACATCCAACCTCAATCTTTCCTCCTTCAACTTGGATCCATTTCCCCTCGTCCTGCTGTTGTCAGCCCTTCTGAAGAGTTTACTCCCCTCCTGGCTGTAGGTTCCCTTCAGGTATTGATAGGCTGCAATGAGGTCACCCCGCAGCTTCTCTTCTCCAGGCTGAACAAAGCCCAACTCCCTCAGCCTGTCCTCATAGGGGAGGTGCTCCAGCCCCCTGCTCATCTCAGTCGCCCTCCTCTGGACCCTTTCCAAGATCTCTATGTCTTTCTTGTACTGAGGGCTCCACACCTGGACACAGGACTCCAGATGGGGCCTCACAAGAGCCGAGTAGAGAGGGACGATCACCTCCCTGTCCCTGCTGACCACCCCTCTCCTGATGGAGCCCAGGATCCCATTTGCCTTTCAAACTCGCTGCTTCACAGCCTGGCGATGCTGCGGCTGCCGACCAGCAGGCAGGAAGGGATGCCCGCAGGAGCCGCGTTTTCTGCTGCCTCCTTTTTGCCGGCTGCACGCTTCCTCCGTCCGACCAGCGCTCTCATCCCCCTGCTGCTCCAGCCCTGCGGCTCCTCGCAACGCACCGCGGTTGCTTTTCTCCCTCCGTCTCTCTCTCTCATCTCCCTGCCCTCCTTCTCCCTCCGTCTCCTCTTTCCTTTCCTCTCTCTTCCTCATTGCCCTTCCAAACAGACTTCACTCTTCTTCTGCAGCAGCCACAACCCACCTTTCCCTGCGAGGAGCAGATCAGGCGGTGGCACCAGTGTCCAAGCATCCTTTCTCCGCCTCGCTCCGTGATTCTTCCTGGGACGTCCCCAATTTTGTTTTTGTTGCAGGGCCGTGGATTGGTTGCTGATGGAAAGCTCAATAAACGCTCTTGTGCTGTTCCTCCGAGTCACTGCCTGCCTCCGTTGCCCTGCAGAGCCCAGGGAAGCACAGGCTGCCCTTCTGGGGCACTGTGCAGAGAGCCTGGCGTTCTTTTGGGGGACAGCGTGCCAGGGCACACAGCCGCGGCCCTTTGGGGACATCCTGTGACACCCCAGGGTCGGCAGAGCGTGGGGCGCCTCAGGAGGCCCAGTGTGCAGGGAGCACCTCTCCACTTGTGCCACCACAGAGGGACCCCACAGGGCCACCACCCCCATGGGCTCCTGCTGCCACATCAGGAGGTGACATCACAGCATCCTGTCCCAAAAGGGGAACTGAAAGCAGCTCAACGCCGCTCCCTGACCCCACTGCAGTCTCTCCATCCCCAAGCTGCTCCTGAATCATGGCACCCATGGCGCTGGCCCTCATCCTGGGTGAGTGACGATGGGGACGTGGTGCCACGGGGGTTGGTGGCCCTGTGTGATGCCAGGACCGTGTCCCTTGCAGGTTGGTGGCTGGCGGCAGCGAGCGGAGCACAGCAACGTGAGTATGGGGGCAGGGGGAGAATGGGCAGAGAGGGAGGGCAGCGTGGGGAGGGGGCCATCAGAGGGGCCCAGGAGGGCGTGCAGGGACAAGGCTGACTGCTGTCCCCTGTCCCAGTGCCCCCACCCTCCCTGTCGCTGCACCCCAGCCACGGGGTGTCCCTGGGGGACGCTGTCACCCTCAGGTGCCACCTGACCCAGTCGGCTGCCTGGGTCTGGCTGTACAAAGGAGAACATTGGACATATCGCAAGTACAAGGACGAGGAGGAGGACACTGCAGAGTTCTCCTTTGAAAGCACAAAGCGGGAGCACGCAGGTTCATATCGGTGTCAGTACCGGGTGTCCTGGTCAGCATTGACATCAGAGCTGAGCGACCCCGTGGAGCTGGTGCTGACAGGTGAGGGCACAGGGGACAGCAGGTGGCACTGGGTGCTGCCAACAGGACCGCGTCCCACTGCTGTCCCCTCCCTCGTGCAGATCGCAGCTTCCCCCCACCCAGCATTTCCCTGAGCCCTGCAAAACGTGTGGGGTCAGGGACCAACGTCAGCATCCAGTGCTGGAACCAGGGCTGTGGGGCCGACTTCCTCCTGTACAAGGATGGGTGCTCAGCCCCCATCCAGCGCCAGGACTCCAATGGTGGAGATGCAGCAGAGTTTACTCTGCTTGCGGTGACCCCGGCTGACAGCGGCACCTATAGGTGCTCCTACCGCTCCAGGAACCACACCTCTGTGTCCTCACCCATTGGGAACAACGTGACTCTGGAGGTGGCACCCACACCTGCACCCCCAGGTGGGTCTGAGCCCCCCATTTCGGTGTCCCTGCTGTCACTCATTGCTGGCAGGGCCTCTGCATCCCATCCCCGTGGGGGTGACGGCCGGGGATGAGGACATGCACACTGCTGGACCCCTCAGGTGACGCGAGGAGGTCCCTGGTGGTGGCGGTGGTGAGGGGCTGCGCTGCTGCCCTCGTCTTCGGCCTGGGCCTCTACTTTGTCCTCGATGCCCGCAGCCTCTGGATACGAAGAGATGACAGCCCTGGTGGGGAAGGCAGCTGAATCCCTTTGACACCCCATAGAGCAGCTTTAGATCCCCCCAAGTACGTTCTGCTTCCTCCTTGATGGTGCACAAACCCTCCAATCTCCCTCCCACACCATCAGCGCCATTTACATCCCTCCAGCTGCGCCTTTCCTTGTCCTCCACGTTGCTCAGGTGTTTAAATCCCCTTAACTTTGTGGGTGCCCCGACCCCAGAGGAGTTCAAGGCCAGATTGGATGGGGCCCTGGGCAGCCTGGTCTGGTATTAACTGGGGAGGTCGGTGGCCCTTTGTGTGGCTGGGGGTTGGAGATTCGTGATCCTCGAGGTCCCTTCCATCCCCGGCCATTCTGTGACTCTGTGAACTTCCCCCTGCCTCCGCTTCCATGCACGGCTGATCCCCCTCGTGCTCTTTGGTTCCGTCCACAATCCCCACCCTACTCCCCTCCACATTTTGATGCAGGTGCCCCCTCATCCACGAAGGCTGAAGCCATGCAGTTCCAGGGCCATGTCTGAGTCAGCGAGTCCTTGAGCTCTTCCTGCCCCTTGCATCCCCTGCAAACCCCACCGCGAACTCCAAACCAGGGACATCACGGGACTCTCAGCCTCTTACGGCTCACCTCAGCTTGACGTGCGACCCCACATCCAGCCCATGGGAAAAGCAAAACCTACGCGATGAGAATTCCAATTCAAATCTCCTCGGATTTCCTGCCGCCCTCCCAGCTCTGCACACCCCCACTTCCTACGTGCACCCAAAAAACGGAGTGCATTGGGCCCAGATGGGCCTCAGCCTGCACAAAAACCCCAGGGAATCCTTAACCTCCTGCACAGCCCCCACATCCCGTGGGCGCCCCCAAGCTGCAGTGGAAACCCCAAAAGCCATGCATGGGGACCCCCAGTATCCCACTGTGAGAATCCTTCTCTGTTTTTTTGGCTCAAAGCTTGCTTCCTGAGGTATTTCTTGGGATAAGACTCTGAATGATTTGTTGAGGAGGCAACTAATAGGTGCTAACCGTGTGACAATGGATATCGCTTTGGGAACATTTGAAAGCCCCTTCCCCCAGAGCTGCTTGCTCTGTAGAAGAGCGGGTGAGAATGCTCAGCAGTGTTTAATGGTGGAAGATCTGGCCTGTGACAAAACAGCTCCAGCCAGGTGTGGGAAAACTGGGGAACGATACCATGGTGTTCTGTGAGAAACAGGATGCAGATGGGCACCCCTGCTCCCTCTTATCTGCTGGCAAGGCCCGGAAGATGGGAACAAAGGAGTTTCTGCTGAGATCCCAGAGCCAGAAGCTGCCACTCAAAGGAGAGCTGACTCGACCGCTTTGGATTTGCGCTGTCACTCCAAAGGTAGCTGACTTCACCACCTTGAAACCATTGAAAAGGGGCCGTCATCACCGTTGTGTTTTGTCGTCGTCGTTGGCAACAGGACAACTCTGCCTGACGACCCACCGCTACTGAAGATCAAAGACTGAACTATGAACCACGCTGGATCCATGGTGCTGACTGCGTCCCTCTTGCTTCCTATAAAGACTCCTTGCCTCTTCTTTTCTATCTTTCCTGCCGCCCTCCTTCCCTTCCCCCATTATCCTAATTCATAATAGTGTCCGTCCTCCCCTTTCCCTGATTTCCCTCCCCATTTCCCTGATTAAGATTTGTAATAAACTGGTTGGACCAACATTGGAACCGTTGCTTCTTAATCTCACGCCAGGTATAGAGATAACAAAAGAACCTCCTCTCCCTCCTATAGATTGGAGCGAGACACCCACAGATGGAGTCCCCAGATCCCCCAGCCCTGAACACTCCTCAGAACTCAGGGGCACCCTCAAACTGTAAGGAAACACCCCAGAAACACGCTGCGATCCCCAAAACAAAGGGAACCTCGACTCCAAAGCCCACCCTTACTGCTAACTGATCTTAGCCACCAGACCCCCAAATGTCATCCCCAGATCCTCACCGCCCTCCCCCATACAACGACACCAAACACACAAATGCCCACTTCTCACCCCAAAATACTTCCTTATTTTCCCCAAATACCTCAACACCCGTGGAAATCCCCAAGTGCTTCCCAGGTTTCAGCGTCGATCAGAAGGCACTGAGCAGTGGTGCTGAGCACCAGTCCTTTGTAAACACAGAAATCCGATGACCTTTGCTGTTATTGCTCTCTTCCTTTTCTTCTCCAGCGAATAACTTTGATGCCAACCCACGAGTTGGGCCTCCTGTTGGTCTCCTTTCCTCCCCAGACCACACAGAGGGGGGGCGGTGATGGAAGGGCAGCGCGGTGCTGAGCAGCTGCCGGGTGGCAGCACCGCACTCCTTCGTCTATCCATTCTCAATAAAAAATAAAAAGTAACACCGCATTTTTATTTCATCTAGAACATTCCGTACTTCAGTCTGAGCCTAGCAGATACTGAATTTGGAGTGTAAGGCTGTCACTGCATTTCACTTTTGAAAAGTCTTTAAATGTAAGCTGCATTTTTAAATGTTGAATTGCAGCTTCTTTTAATGTCATTGTTGTTACATAGCAAATAGGAAAATTAGTGATTAGTCAGCTTTACAACTTTGTGATTTCTTTTCCTAAGCTCTTGATAGACTTTCCTACTCAGCTGTACCTCGTATTTTTAGTGACAAGTAAATGCCCATTCTCTTCTGACCAGTATTATTTCCTCAAGCTCTTCCTGCTCTCACTTGAATCTTGCAGCTGTCGTACACCTCTGCTATATTCCAAAGCAGCATTTGAGTCCTGAAATGTAAAAAAAGAAAACAAAATCAAAAAAAAGCAGTATCTTTATATCCTTCACATGTAATTTTTTATACCTGCACGTTTGCCCAACGTGGGGCCCGAAGGGCGGAGATCCCAGCAGCCGTGAGCAGAGCGCGATCCAACACAACGGCACCCAGCGGCACAGCAGCCTCAGCTCCTTCGCTCCGCGCCATCACAGCCCTCATTGCTGCTGCCTTCGCCCCGCTGGCGCCGCTTCTCATCTCTGACGGCTGCCCTGCTGTTCTGGCAGCTTCTGCCTACAGCTTCGTGCTCTCGTGTGACGGCGGCCACGGATGCGCTGTGCTCCTCGTGCTCAGCAGGGCCGTCGCTGCCACCGCAGGCACCTCACCGCCGCAGCTCCTCGCACGGCCGCTCTCCGCTCCACGCAACGACAGCCGGCCAACAAAACTCCTTTTCTGACCCGTTGGCTGCGCTTGCTGCCTCTCCAACACGCGCCAGACCAGGCTCCTGCCATCGCAGCCGAGGCTGCAGGGCCCCAGGCGCCGTGAGATCACCGCGCAGCCTTGGTGCGCCCACCGGTGGCGCTGCTGCACCGCACGAGCGCTTCTGGCACAGACACGTTGCTGACCAACGCGGCGCTGGGAACAGAATCACAGAATCACAGAATCACCCGGGTTGGAAGGGACCTCAAGGATCACGCAGTTCCAACCCCCTGCCCAGCAGGGCCACCAAACATCCACATTCACATCAGGTTGCCCAGGACCCCGTCCAACCTGGCCTTGAACACGGCCAAGGACGGGGCATCCACAACCTCCCTGGGCAGCCCGTTCCAGGCCCAACCACTCTCCTTGTGAAGAACTTCCCACTAACATCCAACCTCAATCTTTCCTCCTTCAACTTGGATCCATTTCCCCTCGTCCTGCTGTTGTCAGCCCTTCTGAAGAGTTTACTCCCCTCCTGGCTGTAGGTTCCCTTCAGGTATTGATAGGCTGCAATGAGGTCACCCCGCAGCTTCTCTTCTCCAGGCTGAACAAAGCCCAACTCCCTCAGCCTGTCCTCATAGGGGAGGTGCTCCAGCCCCCTGCTCATCTCAGTCGCCCTCCTCTGGACCCTTTCCAAGATCTCAATATCTTTCTTGTACTGAGGGCTCCACACCTGGACACAGGACTCCAGATGGGGCCTCACAAGAGCCGAGTAGAGAGGGACGATCACCTCCCTCTCCCTGCTGACCACCCCTCTCCTGATGGAGCCCAGGATCCCATTTGCCTTTCGAACTCGCTGCTTCACAGCCTGGCGATGCTGCGGCTGCCGACCAGCAGGCAGGAAGGGATGCCCGCAGGAGCTGCGTTTTCTGCTGCCTCCTTTTTGCCGGCTGCACGCTTCCTCCGTCCGACCAGCGCTCTCATCCCCCTGCTGCTCCAGCCCTGCGGCTCCTCGCAACGCACCGCGGTTGCTTTTCTCCCTCCGTTTCTCTCTCTCATCTCCCTGCCCTCCTTCTCCCTCCGTCTCCTCTTTCCTTTCCTCTCTCTTCCTCATTGCCCTTCCAAACAGACTTCACTCTTCTTCTGCAGCAGCCACAACCCACCTTTCCCTGCGAGGAGCAGATCAGGCGGTGGCACCAGTGTCCAAGCATCCTTTCTCCGCCTCGCTCCATGATTCTTCCTGGGACGTCCCCAATTTTGTTTTTGTTGCAGGGCCGTGGATTGGTTGCTGATGGAAAGCTCAATAAACGCTCTTGTGCTGTTCCTCCGAGTCACTGCCTGCCTCCGTTGCCCTGCAGAGCCCAGGGAAGCACAGGCTGCCCTTCTGGGGCACTGTGCAGAGAGCCTGGCGTTCTTTTGGGGGACAGCGTGCCAGGGCACACAGCCGCGGCCCTTTGGGGACATCCTGTGACACCCCAGGGTCGGCAGAGCGTGGGGCGCCTCAGGAGGCCCAGTGTGCAGGGAGCACCTCTCCACTTGTGCCACCACAGAGGGACCCCACAGGGCCACCACCCCCATGGGCTCCTGCTGCCACATCAGGAGGTGACATCACAGCATCCTGTCCCAATAGGGGAACTGAGAGCTGCTTTCTCTCACCACTCCCTGTTCCCCACTGCAGCCTCGCCGTCCCCAAGCTGCTCCTGAATCATGGCACCCATGGCGCTGGCCCTCATCCTGGGTGAGTGACGATGGGGACGTGGTGCCACGGGGGTTGGTGGCCCTGTGTGACACCAGGACCGTGTCCTTCGCAGGTTGGTGGCTGGCGGCAGCGAGCGGAGCACAGCAACGTGAGTATGGGGGCAGGGGGAGAATGGGGAGAGAGGGAGGGCAGCGTGGGGAGGGGGCCATCAGAGGGGCCCGGGAGGGCGTGCAGGGACAAGGCTGACTGCTGTCCCCTGTCCCAGTGCCCCCACCCTCCCTGTCGCTGCACCCCAGCCACGGGGTGTCCCTGGGGGACGCTGTCACCCTCAGGTGCCACCTGATCCAGTCGGCTGCCTGGGTCTGGCTGTACAAAGGAGAACATTGGACATATCGCAAGTACAAGGACGAGGAGCAGGACACTGCAGAGTTCTCCTTTGAAAGCACAAAGCGGGAGCACGCAGGTTCATATCGGTGTCAGTACCGGGTGTCCTGGTCAGCATTGACATCGGAGCTGAGCGACCCCGTGGAGCTGGTGCTGACAGGTGAGGGCACAGGGGACAGCAGGTGGCACTGGGTGCTGCCAACAGGACCGCGTCCCACTGCTGTCCCCTCCCTCGTGCAGATCGCAGCTTCCCCCCACCCAGCATTTCCCTGAGCCCTGCAAAACGTGTGGGGTCAGGGACCAACGTCAGCATCCAGTGCTGGAACCAGGGCTGTGGGGCCGACTTCCTCCTGCACAAGGATGGGTGCTCAGCCCCCATCCGGCGCCAGGAGCTCCGTGTGCTGGGCACGGCCA